GCCGCTGGCTGGGCACTATAAAAGATGACACTGGGATAACCATGGCAGATGTGCAAGACAGAGGTCATGGAGAGGACTGATCAATGGTGGGATTCAGCCAGTTTGCACCAGTTCGGGAGAACCGGTTGTTCAATTTGGTGAACTGGTTGTGGGAAGAACACATTAGGGCAAGGAGCCATTTGTTAAATTATCTGTATCCCACCACTGGGTCTGATCCATAATGTAGCCGAGGGTCGGACACATTGAATGGCTGACAAAGACGATGGGCGTGCACCTCTTTGAGTCATTGTTGATTGCTGGACATTGCTTGGAAAAGTCCCTGTAGTTTTCTTGACAAGAATTTGGAAATGGTTTGCCATTGGCTGTTTCCTGAGCTGAGAGAGATTGACTGGCTCAAGTTCACCCAGCTGGCTTTCATGTCTAAGCTGGGACTAGAACTCACAGTCTCCTGGTGATTGGCCCAAAGTCCAAGAATTGCCAACAGTCAGAATTATCTAAGGTTGATGGCCCTTTCGAAATGGCTATACCTAGCCTTTCTGGTATTCATGATATACTTTTGAAGAGATTAGAATAGCAATATAGACTTATATACCGCTTTATAGTGCTTTTACAGCCCCCTCTAAGTGGTTTTACAGAGTCAGTCTATGGCCCCCAACAATCTGGGTCCTCATTTTACCCACTTTGGAAAGGATGGAAGGCTGAGTCAACCTTGAGCCTAGTGGGATTCGAACTGCCAAATTGCAGACAGTCAGCAGAAGTAGCCTGCAGTAACACAGAATGATACCAATCAAAAGAAGAAGAATAGCAATAGCACTTAGACTTCTATACTGCTTTATAGTGCTTTACAGCCCTATAGTGCTTTACATTCATTCAGTGAATTCTAGTGTGGGCATTGTCAAACAGAGCAGATTGGAACAGGTTGTTTAGAGAAGTTCAAACACTTTACAGTTTATGCAATAGTGTTGTAATATTTTCACCTGCTGTTAACCACAGTGTTGTCTACTATGCCTTCTAAGCGCCCACCAAATTCAATGTTCTGTAGAAATTTAAGGGGGGGACGAGCGGTCTGCCACCTCCAAGTGGTGTCCCCTGGATGCGCGAAGCCGTCAAACGCTGACCGTAACTGAGAGCAGACCCTCCGACGACAGGCCCACGCGACAGCCCGGCTGGAGTACTCAAATGCCGCATCAACATGGTGGAAACGTCCACTACAAAACACACGTCCAATGCTACCGCGTTCGGGGGAACCGACGGGCGCAGGAGACCATTGGCCTGCGCCAAAAATCAAGGAAATGGTCCACGCGGAAAGCACGGCGCACCTGCACCGTGTGAGAAAGCTATGGCGACTGCGTCCGGGTCCGATGCGCACGGAGACTACCCGATCCGTGTGAAAAAACGCAAGCGGGGAACAGAGGACTGCCAGACGCTCAAGGTGGCCACCTGGAACGTGGATTCGCTGACTGGACGCTCGACCGAGATCGTCAGGGCCATGCGGGACAGGAAGCTGGACATCTGCTGCCTCCAGGAAACTCGCTGGAAGGGCAACAAGGCTAGACTATAGACGGCTACAAGATCATATACACCAGCTGTAAGGAAAACCGCGGCGGTGTAGCTGTGGTTGTCAGTCCAAGCTGGCAAAGTTCCGTCGCAGAAGTTAAGCGCCTCACAGAACGACTGATGATAATCGTCGTAGCGACCGAGAGGCAGCGCCTACACATCTTGTCCGCCTACGCCCCTCAGACCGGATGTCACGAGGAGGAGAAGGATACCTTCTGGGAACTGCTCGACATCCAACTCAGGCAGATCCCACACGAAGACGACATCATCATCTCGGGCGACCTGAATGGTCATGTAGGGCGGGACAAAAACGGACACCAGTGCCACGGTGGGCACGGCACAGGCGATACGAATGAGAATGGCCAGAGGATCCTGGACTTTGCCGACTCCCATGATATGACCATCACGAATACCTGCTTCATTAGGCGAGAATCTCAACTCCTCACCTACCATAGCAGAAACGGGAGCCACCACACACAGATCGACTACATCATCGTACGACGAAGAGCCGCTAAAAACGTGCTCAACGCCAAGGTGTACCCGTACGAATCGAGCAGTCAGCACAGGCCGCTGATGGCGAAGATCAGGATCAGCAAGCCCAAGACCAGGATTGACAAAAGGAATGCAGACCAGCCACGAATCAAGTGGTGGAACCAGAAGAAGATGGCGGGACCCCTCATCAAACCGGAGCAGTTCCTGCAGATGGTCGACGGGCCACAGGAAGCGTGGTCCATGCTGAAGAGCACTGTTCACACTGCCGGCTGCCAACAGCTTGGTTGCACCAAGCCAGGACGGAGACGCATCGAACGAGATACATGGCTCTGGACACCGGAAGTACAAGATGCCGTACACCTGAAGAAACGGCTCTACAAGGCCTTTCTTCAGGACAAGACCAGCGAGAAGCTCTGCGAATACAAGGCGGCCAAAAAGGCAGCCAAGAAAGCAGTAGCGACAGCCAGAAGCTCCCACTACGATGACATCTACGAGAAGCTGAACACGCGAGAAGGCGAGAATGAGATCTACCGCCTAGCCAAAAGCAGACACAGGAAGACCCTGGACATTGACCAGTTTCATGGGATCAACGACGAAAGGGGAAATTTGATCATCAACCCCAGAGACGCTGCGGAGAGGTGGCGGCAATACTTCGAGAAGATCTCCACCGAGGAGTTCCCACACCCACGAACCCCGCGAGGTGACCCAGTTGAAGGCCCAGTCTCAGGCATTTATGCCAGCGAGGTCGCCGACGCCATCAAGGCCATGAAAAACGGTAAGGCAACAGGACCAGACGACATCCCTGCCGACTTCTGGAAAAAGGCACTACCGGGCTCGGCATTGTGGCTGTGCGAGCTGTTCAACAACATCGTCTCCACGGGAAAAGTGCCACACGACTGGTACCGCAGCACCACTGTTCCGATCTGGAAGGGAAAGGGCAGCCCAGCGGACTGCTCCAACTACAGACCGGTCAGGTTACTGTCACACACTATGAAGATCTTTGAACGCGTCCTTGATAAGCGCATTCGGGACATCGTCGACATCAGCGTCAACCAGGCTGGATTCATCAAGAACTGCGGCACCACCGACGCCATCTTCGGTGTGCGGATGCTGATGGAGGCTCACAGAGAGAAGAAAATCCCGCTCCACACCGCCTTCCTAGACTTGGAAAAGGCCTTCGACCGAGTCCCGCACGATCTCATCTGGTACGCACTGCGAGATCACGGCGTGCCTGAGCTGCTCGTACAATGGGTCCAACTCCTATACAGATGTCACAAAAGCCATGTAAAAGCGGCAGCTGGGATATCAGAGGAGTTTAATATTACCGTCGGCGTACACCAGGGCTCTGCTCTCTCACCACTGCTGTTCATTCTGGTGATGGACACAATTACACACGACCTGTACACGCCCGCCCCATGGACGCTGCTCTACGCCGATGATGTGTTCCTGGCCAACCTGTGCAAGGCTGAACTCGAGCACCGAGTCCAACAGTGGCACGACCGCCTCGAGCAGTTCGGGCTCCGGCTGAACCTAAAGAAGTCCGAATACCTGATCACTGACAATGAAATGACAGGCTCCATCCACGTGAACGGGCAGGAGCTACCGCGCGCCTCCACCTTCAAGTACCTGGGAACTACTCTTGGGGAAGAAGGCCTACTACAAACTGAGGTGGCAGCCAGGATCAATGCAGCGTGGGGCAAATGGAAGTCCGTCACGGGCGTCCTCTGTGACAAGAAGATGCCGATGCGCCTGAAGGCGAAAATCTATAACTCTGTGGTGCGCCCCGTGGCCATATACGGCGCAGAGTGCTGGCCGACGACCAAAGAAGTCGAAAGCAGACTCCAGATAATGGAGATGCGAATGCTCCGATGGTCGGTAGGCCTCACCCTACTCGATCGCGTCAGGAACGAAGAAGTGCGTAGACGGTTCAACGTCGTGCCCATCCCCACGGTCATGAGGCAGTCCCGGCTACGATGGTTCGGCCACGTGAGCCGCGCCAAGGAAGAATCCATCATCAAATCTGTAATGAAGGTGACTGTCGGAGGAGCGAGACCGCGTGGTAGACCTAAACAACGCTGGATGGACACGATCAAGGCCGATCTAGAGATCGCGAAGGCAGACCCGACACACGTGGCAGACAGAGAGGTGTGGAAGCAGTACTCAAGGACATTAGCGGACCTCGCCCGAGCGCGAGACAAACGCTGAAGAAAAAGAAGAAGAAGAAGAAGAAGAAGAAGTAGAAATTTAAGGATGATATGTAGCAGAGTTCAAATATCTACCATGCATAACCATTTCTCTTTGGGTTATTATTAGTTTTTTGTGATGGTCTCTTTCACTGGGAAAAGATAGGAGGAAGAAAGAAGAAGGTAGAAAGAGAAAGAAGGAAGAAGGAAGAGGAGGAGGAAAAGAGAGAAAGAAAGGAAGAAAAAGAAGAAAGGAAGAAAAGAAGAAAGGAAGGAAGAAAAGAAAGAAAAAGTGTGTGTGTGTGTGTGTGAGAGAGAGAGAGAGAGAGATTTGATATAGACCAGGGGTCTTCCAAGGGGGTCTTTAAGACTCGTGGACTTCAATTCCCAGAATTCCTCCCCCAGTCATGTTAGCTCAGGAATTCTGGGAGTTGAAGTCCACAAGTCTTAAACTTACCAAGTTTGAAGACTCTTGATTTTGTCTTAGTGCTATTGCTAAGTGCTATAACTACCCCAGCATCTCCCCATTGTTTCTTCGCCATTTGTTTTCTTAAAATAATTTAAAAAGAAACCTCACAATTTTTAAGATAGATGAGCTGCACAAAACCCTTTAATGGATAATGCTTGGAGCCTTTTAGTTCCCAAACCCTTCAAAGACAGCTAAATTTTGCCTGTGTTGAAGTAACAGGAAGACAACATGCAAGGGGTGGGGAAAATGAATGCCTACCCTCTATCTGCACCTATCTAGCCTCAGTTCTGTTTTCTGGCTTGTCATCAAAAGATCATATTTCCCAGGAGGAAACGAAGGAGCAGGATACGTCTTTAAATTAAGGTGAGAAATCTTTCTTTTTATTGTGATTTTTATTTAAAAAAATTTTTTTAAAGGAAGATTAAAAAGATGAGCTAATATAAAAGAAGAAAAAGGAAGAATTCAAAGAGAATGTGCAAAAAAAGGAGGGAAAGTACAAGAAAATAGAAAGGAAAGGACAACACCACAAAAAAAGTTGTTTCTGGTCTTCTTTATAGCAGTTATAAATATAAATTTGCCTTTTACTTTATGGTTATAACATGCGTTTTTATGATCTATCCTAAAACGTAAAACGTAAGTTCATTGTTTCCCGTATTTTATGCAAAAAGCTAATAAGGGGTTTTCCAATCCACAATCAATGTGGAAATTGTCTCTCTTCTAATCGAATAAGTTAATGTAGCCATCTCAGCAAATTCCATCATTTTCATCAAATCTTTCCATCTTTGTATAGACAATAATCTTGATGCAGTTAGCATGCCCAAGAACAAAATTCCAAGATTGAGGTAACAGAATAACAGAGTTGGAAGGGACCTTGGAGGTCTTCTAGTCTAACTCCCTGCCTAGGCAGGAAACCGTCTACCATTTCAGACAAATGGTTGTCCAATCTCTTCTTAAAAACCTCCTGTTTTGGAGCATCTACAATGTCTGAAGGCAATTCATTCCACGGATTAATTGTTTTCAGTGTGAGGAAATTCCTCCTTATTTCTAGGTTGCTTCTGTCTTTGATGAGTTTCCATCCGTTGCTTCTTGTCTTACCCTCAGGAGCTTTGGAGAATAGCTTGATCACCTCTTCTTTGGGGCAGCCCCTCAAATATTGGAACACTGCTATTATGTCCTTCTTTTCACTAGACTAGACATACCCAATTCCTGCAAACGTTCTTTATATGTTTTAGCCTCCAGTCCCTTTCTGGAGTGAAGGATGGTTAAATGTTTTCCTTTAGAACTGGGGTCTCATGAGATAACTTGGAGTGCCATAGCACTGGAGGAAAAAACAGAGACCATCAATTTAAATCACTAAATGCAGATGGATTTCACACAATGCCTTCCAGGAAGGTAGAGAAACCGCAGCTCAGTTGCAGTTCCCAGCTAACAAGAGGAAAATTCCACAGTCTATCCCACAAAAGCTGGCATCCCCCATCTATAAATGCCTTAAAAGCCAACATACTCTTGCTTACATTCCATGAACTAGGAAATATTCTGATGTGTTGTGATGCCCCAGGATGTGTTTACCAGATTTTATGGACCCTGGTGGGATGAAGAATAGTTTCCAAGTATGACAAGATCTGCCATTAACTGAATTCCCAAGTATTTAACTTTCTTTGCTATCTAAATATCTAAACTATTCGTAAATACCTTTTTCTGTTTGTCCTATTTTTTTTTACCAATATCTTAGTTTTCCCTTTATATATTTTCAATCCTGCCATTTTCCCATATTCTTCTATTTTATTTATTAACTTAGGTCCTGTTCCTAGAGGTTCTGCTAATATAAAATCTAATTCATCTGCAAATGCCTGCAATTTATACTCTTCTTTTCTTATTTCCATCCCTCTTATCTCCTTATCTTTCCTAATATTTCTATTTAACACTTCCAATCTTAATACAAATAACAATGGTGACAGGGGACACCCTTGTATGACAAGATTTGGAGAGCTAGAATGAATAGTGTTGGTTTTGCTGCATTTGTTCTTCCTCATGTCTTTAATTCTTTAATTTGAACGGGTTGGGTTTTCTTTTGGTCTTTCTTATTCCTCTTTTGGTCTCTGCATCACCAATACATTTAAAAAAAAAATTAATCTCAGTTATAGCAATAGCACTTAGATTTATAGTGTATATTGCTCCATGGTGCTTTGCAGTACTGTCTGGGTGGTTTACAACGTCAGCATATTCTCCCCCAACAATCTGATCCTTGTTTGACCAAACCCTGAATTAACTTTGATATAAGTTCTCCAAGTTCCAAAACGTTGGCAACATTCCCTGGATCAGTGGTGGGATTCGAATTTTTTTACGACTGGTTCTGTGGCCATGGCTTGGTGGGTGAGGCAGGGGAAGGATATACTGTAAAATCCCCATTCCTTCCCCACCCCACTAACCTGCTTTCCAGCTCCGTTCTCCTATGCAGGGCAACCAAAAAAGACCCAGCCAACGATCAGCTGGGACTCAATAGGAGGCAGAGAATAGATGGCGTTGGCGGGGCCAGTCAGAGGAGGGGTTTGTTGGTTCTCCAAACTACTCAAAATTTCCCCTACCAGTTCTCCAGAACTGGTCAGAACTTGCTGAATACCACTTCTACCCTGGACGTGTCCTCTTCATTTCTCCTTTTCCACTTTGCAGCTCTTAGAGAAAGAAACTTAGGAAGGACCTCTCCTGATGGGTCAAGCAGTTAATAGCGAACCCTGGAAATGTATATATTCAGACTTGGGAAGATTCTGCTTTGTAGCCTTACAATAAAGTAGAATTTGTTCGCCTGGTTCTGTTTCCTGCCCATTTCACCTGGAGGGCTGATAGGGGATACCTGTGTTTGTCCAGCCTCACTGTGTCAGCCTCGGAAGCCATTTTTTACTTGGCCGCTTCGAGGCTGCCACATTCAGTGTTTGGGAAAATGGGAGGGGGGATTTCATAGAGAGGTAGAAGATTAGACACAACAACATTGTTTCTCAGAGAGTCAAGGACATGCTACCCTGCACCTGGAGAGGAGTGACTGGAGGGATGTCTCCAATAGGGACGAAAATTTGATTGGGCCATGTGATGGACTGGTGGGTGCAGGGGGTAGATCTTTGATTTCTCTTTTGGGAAGGGAATACCCAGAATGCTCAGATTCGGATTTTTCCAGATGTGCCAATATGACAACTGTTAATAAAATGGAACTTTGAGGGAATGTGTGTCTCGAAGTTTATGTGTTTGGAGTCGGTTCTTTGAAATGCTGACAATGTGATTTTTGGCCTTGTGCTTTTTCTCAGCTTTCGGGGGGGGGGGGGGTTTCCCCTCCTTCCACTTCCCACCTGTTTTTGTTAGATGCTTTTAAAAGACAAGTGTTGTTGCAACAAGATGACCAAGTGGTTTCTGGCATTGAAAAGATTTCTCAACCTCCCTCCTGTTCATCTCTTTCCTGTACTAAGGGAAATGGAGAATATAGCAAACAATTATTTCCTGTCTTGGCTAAGACCCTCTCCCATCCATGTATCCTGCCTTGACTTCCTCATTTTACCCACCTCGGAAGGGTGGAAGGCTGACTCAAACTTGAGCCTGGTGAGACTTGAACTGCCAAATTGCAGACAGCCAGCAGTCAGCAGAAGTAGCCTGCAGTACTGTACTCTAACCACTGTGCCACTGCGGCTCAAATATATAAGCATCTCTACTATATTTAAACTCATTGGTTGACAAATCCACCGTTTATCAAAATGGGGTGGTTGACTTGGAGCAACTGGTTTTCTGCTTATGATTTTTCCCCTTAAAATGTTTTCCCCCTTTTCACCTAAGAATTGTTTTAAAATCTAAATCTCTTTTTAAAATCTTCCCAAACCCCAGCTATTAGGTGTGGCCTTCAACGCTCAAAAATAGCATTTTTATAATGTACGTGGTCACCTGAGGCAAATAGATTCCACAAAGAATAGCTTTATTGGAGCTATCATATTGGCACTTATCTGGTGAAAACTGACTCTGAAGTCTCCCAAAGTTTTCACCTAATTCAAAGTAAGGGTTTTTCTACTTTCTCAAAACAATCAGTCACATGGTCCAATCATGGTGCGGGCTGGCAGCCGGGTAGCATCACTCTGCTTTCCTCCAACCAGGTGTGAGAATATCCTTGGTTCTCAAGAGAAAATATTTTGTTTTGGCTGCAGAATTCCCTCTATCTCAAATCCCCCCCTGCAATCCCTCAGCTCCAGAGGTGGCATTCAGCAGGTTCTGACCAATTCTGGAGAACCAGTAGTGAAAATATTGAGTAGTTTGGAGAACTAACAAATACCCCCTCTGACTGGCCCCGCCCCCATCTATTCTCTGCCTCCCGAGTCCCAGCTGATTGGCTGGCTCTTTCTTTTGTTGTCCTGCACAGGAGAACGGAGCTGGAAAGCAGGTTAGCGGGGTGGGGAGGGAATGGGATTTTGCAGTATCCTTCCCCTGCCGTGCCCATCAAGTCACGCCAACCAAGCCACGCCCACAGAACCTGTACTAAAATAATTTTAATCCCACTACTGCTTGGCTCCAGTGTGGCAACACTGAAGCCGTTCCAAATGGCTTCAGTCAGGTCACTTCAGGGTTGACACACATCCGTCCACTGATTCTTGTGTTTTTGCTTTTAGGAAAAGGAGCCTCTCTATCAGTAGAAGACATAATGAGCAACACCACTCTGGACAATCTACGCTTTTATAACTCTACTGAGTACGATGAAGATTATGACTATTATGACAGTTCAAACTATAAACTAGAAAGAGCCATGCATATTATCGCCATGGTGATCTATAGTCTTGCATTTGTGCTGGGGGTCCTTGGCAACGGGTTGGTTATCTTCTTCACCGGCTTCCGAATGAAGAAGACGGTCAACACAGTTTGGTTCCTCAATTTGGCCATTGCAGACTTCACCTTTACTTTCTTCCTTCCCCTGAGTGTTGCTTATTTAGCCCTGGGATTCCACTGGCCCTTCGGGGAGTTTTTGTGCAAGGTGAACAGCACCTTGGCCTTCCTCAACCTCTATGCCAGCATTTATCTCCTCATGGTCATCAGTATTGACCGTTGCATTTCTGTCTGGAATCCGGTCTGGGCTCAGAATCACCGAACCCCTCGGCTGGCTTCTTTTGTGGCCTTGGCTGTGTGGATCTGGGCCTTGGTGTTGTGTTCTCCAGTTATGTATTTCAGGCAAACTGCCTCGCAGGATGGCCTGCTGGAAGAAAACAAGATTAACTGCTATACCAATTACGGTGAAGACCCAGCCATGAAAACCATGAGACATTATGCCCTGATCATCACTCGGTTCATCTTTGCCTTCGTCATTCCCTTCACTGTTATCCTTGTCTGCTACGGGGCAATTGTCTCGAAACTGAGACGCAATCAATTGTCTCAATCTAACAAACCCTTTCAGGTCATCACTGCAGTGATTGTTGCTTTTTCGGTCTGCTGGTTCCCTTATCATCTTTTCACTTTCTTTGAGTTAAAAGGACATACAGAGGTGCTGAGGTTCGGTGTTCCCTTGGTAACAAGCCTGGCTTTCGTCAACAGCTGCCTGAACCCCATTTTGTACGTCTTCATGGGCCAGGATTTCAAAAAGAAACTGAGGCAGTCCCTCTTTACTATATTTGAGAATGCCTTTACTGAAGAGAACAGCCAGAACACATTAACTAATAAGACTAAATCTTCAATGGAGACCCTGTCCCAGGAGGTCTGAGACCTACCTAACTCTATTGTTACATCCTCAAACCCCCAGAACTTTAACCTTAAATTGTCTACTGTGAACCTCATCCCATTCCTAAGAGGTCTGTAAGGGGGGCGTGCATAAGCTGTTTCCATTTATTCATACTCATTTATTATGTATATACTTATACCTGTTTATTCTTATATGCTATGTTCATACTTATACTTGTTTTCTCATACATGCTTGAGAAACTAAACTGAATAAATAAATAAATAAAATGTCTCCATTCTGAAAACCCTCCCCAAGCCAGGTTATCAAATGAACCGTTTCTGAATCTTCTTTGCATCGCTCCACGTTGACCCCATTCGCTGAAGGTTCCTTGCTTTGAGGTTTGATTCTTTGAGGAACATCTGAAGAACCCATCACGAAACCAGCTGCCTGGATGTAGAAATGGCACCTTTGCAACAGTGGAAAATATCTGTTGCTCGGGTGTGGAAGGAGGGTGAAAGTTCATTCTCCAAGCTTGTGGGTTGGTTTCCGAATGTTTCATTTCCAGGCTAGGTAACATACCCAGCAGAGTTTAGAGCAAAGGTCTCCAAACTTGGCAACTTTAGACTGGCGGACTTCAACTCCCAGAATTCTCCAGCCAGCATAGCTAGCTGGAGAATTCTGGGAGTTGAAGTCCACAAGTCTTAAAGTTGCCAAATTTGGAGACCCCCGGTTTAGGGGATGGGACCTTTGTGCGTAGCTAATAAAGATGCTCCATTAATGCATTTCTGTAATCCTCATCTGGTTCCCAATAAAAATAAGTATATGCGTTTCCATGAAAACCCACAGATCGCACTGGATTTCAGCTAAAATCCCTTGCAATCTGATCATCAACATAAATACAATTACTATGCTTAGGAAACACGAAAGGAGTGCCTTGCTTGCTCTCCCGCTTCCACATACTTCCCATGTTCAAAAATATCCTTTCATCTAATGATAGAGTTGGAAGCCTTATCCATATATATTCACACCCCTCTTCATAAATTCCCAGATTCTGCTCGAGAGCCTTCTAGGACTCATTTTCTCATACCGATACATGACTTTTGCTCACTTTTGCCACAGATAATTCCTTTTATTGCTGTAACTTAGAACAATTGCTAATTGATTGTAAGTTAAGGGCAACTTGTAATTCTCCTCCAAAGGAGTTTTTGGTAAACATGTTCTTTAAAGAATAATAATAAAAAAATATAACACTTTTGCCTCAGCTGTTTATCAATAGCACCCCAAATGTGAGGTGGTTCCCGCACATTCTTCTAGATGAAGGATCAGTTAAGGGGAGCTTCTGGTGGAGAAGATGTCACCAGACTTTTAGTATCGTGCTTTCTCCTGATCTTGTCTTTTTATTTGGTTCATTGGGAGATTTGTTGCACAGGAGGATGGGTTTTGGGTAGCAAATTGAGGTGGGTTGTTTGGGAGAAACTGTGCTTGGGATACCAAGTATCTATACAGGTAATGGAGGACACGGACACTTGGAAAGTGTCCATGTATATGCACACACACACACACACACACACACACACACTCTTACACACTGTATGTCAGCATTCCAAGTAATGCAACCATAGAAAGCAGAAGTCCAAGGCAGGTAAATTCCTCAACAAACGATTTATTGGATACATCCTATTGGCGCAACTGGTAAAAAAACCAATTCTGAAAGTTCCGGCAGTTTTCACCAGATTAAAAAGTGAAAGTTTCTCCTTCCCCCAAGTTATCAGTCACATTGTCCAATGGAGGTGCTGGCTGGTTTGCTTGGTTACTCCATCCCTCCTCTCTCCAACCACCTGTTGGAATGTCCTTGGTTCCCATGGGAAAACATTTTGTTTTGACCACAAACCCCCAGCTATCTGTTTTCCTCCTCCCTGTCCCTTCTTCTTCTTGCTTGTGGCAACTGGAAAGCCTCCAAGATGGCCTCAGCCAGGTCCACTTCAGGATTGACACCGTATGTGTACACACACACACACACAGGGGTCTACACATATGGAATTACTTTTTCCAGCATCAGAAAAACTGGCTTTTCCATCACTATATTTTTCCAACGAATCTTTATTTTCAAGAACATATTCCAGTGATAATATAGAATCAACGACTACCCGCTTTTCAAATTTCCACTTGGTCCAGTTGTACATCATGTTCACTTTAGTTTGTAATAACTAAATGGCTTATCCTCTTGTGCATGCTCAACCCATTTGATCCCTCAATGATTTTGTGGATTATGCAACCTCCCAATGGGTTAATTCAGAAACCAGGTTAAGTGTGTTCTGGGAGCTTAACCAAGACTTACCTGTCTGTCTACCTGTCTCATTAAATGTTGTGGCCCGCCAGAGGCCAACAGAGCTGGCAGCAGACTCGGACAGTGAGGAGGTTGGGGAGGAACATGGGCTGGTCCTGGAGTCTGGGGAAGGTTCTTACAAGTGCTCTGTGTCTGAGGCAGAGATGGGGCCAAGGCTGTCTGACAGTTATAAGCTGCCTTCAGAGTCAGACATCAGTGAGGTGGAAGAACAGCTGGAGCCTGTTCCCAGTATGAGCATGCACAGAGCTGCCAGAAGAAGGGAACACTAAAGGGACATGGGTAGACTCGGGAGTAAACCGGTAGAATCCCACCCCTGGAAGAAAGACAGATTGCCAGGCAGTGTTTGTGCCACAATTAGAGCTGTGGTGGCACAGTGGTTAGAATGCAGTATTGCAGGGAAACTCTGCCCACAGCCAGGAGTTTGATCCTGAGGAGCTCAAAGTTGACTCAGCCTTTCATCCTTCCGAGGTTGGATAAAATGAGGACCCAGATTGTTGGGAGCAAACTGCTGACTCTGTAAACTGCTGAGAGAGGGCTGCAAAGCACTGTGAAGCGGTTTATAAGTCTAAGTGCTATTACTACGGCTGTTAAATGCAAGATGGGAAGGTCCTTTGAAATATGGAAACAAGATCACTTTGCCATCAAAAGCACTCTGTCTCTTGAAAGTTTGTGAAACCCACAGCTTCACATATAAATATAGCTAACTGCAAATTACTTTGATTAAAACAAGCAAACACACAGAATTATGTAACTGACCTTTAAATAATTTTAAACTTCCTAATAGACTAGAAGTCAGACCAGCCCTAAATAACCAGCTAAAAAAGCAATCAGAAAAGGTAATCATTATCCAATTTTTACAATTCTTTTTCATAGCTGGTGCATAAGATTATCAACAGAAATTAGGATACACATAATGCATATTATATAATACATGTTACACAAATAACGATATGGAGAATAGCAAGCCAACTTTATCCCAGTAAATTCATCTCCCAGAATTTAATGGTTTAGGGTATATCCTGGGAATAATAAGCCAATATATCTGGAGGCCAAAGATTGTAAAAGCCTGCAATAAACGGTAGGGAAGAATAAACATTAGAATCTTTGAAAAATGACAGATTTGTTGAAATGGACACAGAGGGTTCATTCTATTGAAAAGTGCAGAATGCCACCACTGAAAAGGCCCTGTTTCAGAAATATCCATTAAACTCATCCAAGAATAATGTGTTCATTTGCAGAATTTGGGTTTGCTGGTGTTGGTGGGGAGGTCACTCAGAACACACATGGGTGTGCTGCTTTGTACAAGTGTCAAAGTGTGCTCACATGATTTCCTTAATCTGATTCCTGAATTAACCCAGGTTCTGGTAATAACCATGTGGCTGCGTTCAGCCAGCACAACGAGCCACCAGAATCCTAACCAAGATTAATCCTGACCAAGTTCAGTGCCTTCTGCAATTGTGTCTCCTTGGTCATTACTTGGCTTGGCTAACTTGTTGTTTGAATGAAGCCATAAGAAACTATGGAGATTCTCAGTCATCCAAGTCATGGTTGTCCCAAAGGTGCTTTTTAAAAAGGCAGCTGGATTTTGTTTTTCCTTGAAGACATTTCGCTTCTCATCCAAGATGCTTCTTCAACTCTGAAGATGCTTCTTGAATGAGAAGTGAAACAGCTTAAAAGAAAAATAGTCCAGTTGCCAGAGGTGGTATTCAGCAGGTTCTGACCAGTTCTGGAGAACCAGTAGCGGAAATTTTGAGTACTTCACAGAACTGGCAAATGCCCCCTCTGACTGGCCCTGATCCCATCTATTCTCCACCTCCTGAGTCCCAGTTGATTGGCTGGGTCTTCTTTGGTTGCCCTGCACAGGAGAACGGAGCTGAAAAGCAGGTTAGTGGGGTGGGGAGGGAATGGGATTTTGCAGTAACCTTCCCCTGGATTGGGGTAGGAATGGAGATTTTTTACAATATCCTTCCCCTGCTATGCCCACCAAGCCACAGCCACCAAGCCACGGCCACCAAGCCACACCACAGCGACCAAGCCACGCCCACCAAGCCACGCCCATAGAACCGGTAATAAAAACATTTGAATCCCATCATTGCCAGTTGCCTTTTGAAAAAGCATGTTTGGGAAGCCATAAGAGCTGCTAACACTTTAAAAAGTTAATAATAATAGTGCTAATGGTTGCAACTAAGACCTAGTTGACTTCTAACTGTGTGGCTTAGCTCCATTTGGTTAGCTTACCGTTTGCTGTGTTATGTGAATCAAGATAACGGGTGACTTCAGGAAGTATACTGTGTGATTACAGCTATAGGCATATTCTCGGTATAAGAAGAATAACTCACACTATGCTGGATTCCCCTATTCCTGAAGTAGAACCAGAATTCCTAGTACTTGAAAAAAAGGAGGTGGCCCAGTTTTCACTAAAAGCACTTTTGAAGGCTGAGAGGAAGGAGCGCCAGCTAATTTTTCTAAAATCTGCACACACGAAAGCATATAAGAATGGATTGAGGCAGCTGTTGAGACACACCAAACCATTAGCCAACGGCAGCCCAATATCAATGACAGCTCTCATTTCAAAGCTCCCATCAGCCAAGTTCTCTAGAATGGAGAAGACATGGTGAGGGAACCAACAGCAGAAGAACGCTACCACTACCGCCATGATGATCTTGAAGGATCTACCAAACTGATGAAAGAGCTTTCCTCTGAGCTTAAAGACAATGATGCAGTAGCAAGCCAAGATGATGTTGAAGGGGATGAAGAACCCAATT